AAAAAAAAAAAAAAAACTGTGACGTAACTGCGGGCAACAAGTATCGCGAGATGTGCGTTCGATATTCCGCTCGTTAATATGAATCTCGCATCATCACGCTCCGGTGCTTATTCTTGCAACAATAACTAACTCATTTTCCATTCGACTCGACGTGTGTACCACGCGAAGAATCGGGCGCGCTGATAATGGCCTACTCTTGTGTGTATGGTGGCTTGACGCCTCTCTTCTGGATTTGCGCACCCGACGTTATCGCGCGACCTTAAGTACCGCGTTCTCGTCTTCCTCCCCCCGTAATCTGCCATCAAACGCCGTTAATCCCCTAAACTACCGATGACATTTGCCAGATACGATCGTGTACGCTAGGGGAAATCAAACTATCATGATGATTGGATGGCAATGCCAGGAAAACTTGTCGAACAACCGAGATTCAATGATCCGAAACAGTTTGATATCATCTTGATATATACTCGCGCAATTATCGACATTATTGACACTCGGTCGATGTGTGTATTCTTCAGAGAGACCAAGAAATTGTTTTGTGATTGCGTTTTTTCCGTCAAACGCGTATAGCTCGAATATACTCGCGAATAAATAAATCGATTTTCGCGTTCTCTCTTTTTTTGTGACGACGATATTTACAACCGTCGGGAACAACGTTCGAACGAATCGAGCACAACGAGAGACTCATAAGTATCGATAGAATATCTCGTATATATATTAGTTTACTATATACGTACTTCATCACGAAGTTTCGAAGCTAAGGAAAACGACGTGAATGAAAGCGCCGTCGCGAAAGGATTGAGAGAATACACATTAGCGAAAAGAGACGAGACATTTCCTTGCCAAAGTTTAATGCAAGACTCCTTTAAGAAGCTCGCCAGACACAAGGTTTGAAAACATTGGCCGTTCGCGTGAGTTCGCTAACGCAGTTTGCTTCCGGAAAGCGGAACTTGGAAACTCCCGCTTTCTCTCTAACGGGGGGAGAGGAGGGGGGGAGAGGGGTGGCAGGAAACTTTTCGCATTGGGATTTATTACATATTTTTGACCCAGTTCCTACGCGAAAAACTATACTCCCGCAATTCCCACAGCCATATCCCCCGTCTAATCGCGCACGCGGAGCGTTTAACGTCGCGCGTTCGATCGCGATTCGCGTCCCGTAATAAAAACGTGAGAACAACGTGACGGCGTGATTCGGCGTGTGATGAGCGAATTGTGTCGAAATATTATTGCAAGTGCGGGTTACATTGCGGAGCGTTAACAATTCTGCGAGAAGTTTAATTTTCCGTACTGTTAACCAACGCGCAATATTAACTCTTAAAGTTAACACACGTTTCCTCTGTCGAACATTAAGTATACAGTGGGGGATATTTGAATGTCTCACACACCCCGTCTCTCTTTTGCTCTACACGTTAAAACATACATAAATGCGTGTAACCTTAATTAATCGTTGCCGCTGCGGTTCAACTCCTCTGGGGAAATGCTCCAACAACTTTTGTTTACCCAAAACTTCCGTTTTTTTTTGTTCCGATTGCACAATGGGAAAGGAAAAGTCAGTTTTTTTTTCTTAAGCTCGGAAACTCACAGAAAATATGAAAAGTCAACGGGAAGGGTGGATTTATCTTATATACTTTAAGGGTTGGAGAAAAAACGCGCAGAACTCTATTGCTGACTTTGTAATTTATCTTTCTCAAAAAAAGAAAAAAATAAAAAACACGTAAGGCGGCGTTTCAACCTGGAGGCAAATGTCGCTCCGATGTATCGTTCCGATGATATTTGGGTCGACCGTGATAAATATAAATTCAACGATTCGGTAGTACCTACCGCGCGCGCGGCTACTCTACTGTGCACATGAAAACGACCCCAATTCGGGATCTCGTTTATCACGATTGTTGCCGTCTTTGAAAACGCTATCTCGGTCGCATTTCGAATCCGCGGCTTTTAACGGCGAAACGAAGAAACGACGTTTCTTTCTTGGTTGAAGAAGTTATTATATAGAACGCTGGATGAAAGAGCGGAATAAAAAAACCTCGGACTGTATGAAGACCGTAAACCAATTGCGTGTCACCGCCTGCGCTAATCCGACTTTGAATACATCCAGAGAAAAGCCGTACAAGACCCAACCAACTGGTTCTTCGTGCTGTTTCCCAGCTAGTTCTAGAATCTCCGTTCTCATCTAAAAGCTCTAGGAAGCAAAACATGCGATGTTCGACTATTCTCTCGTCGTCTCTCGTAGGCGACGAGATATATATCAATGCGTCGAAAAAGCGTGCGTGATGGAAAGCGCGCTACAACAAGAACCACGTGAAGACAAGACACACGGTGTGACACAAGAGAGGCTGAAAAAAAAAAAAAAAAGGAAATTAAATCGAAGCGATTTAATTTTTCAATACCGGAGGATTGGTCAGGAAGGTCACGGCAGCTCTCAAGTGCTTCAGATTAAGCGTCTGCGTGTCCTCGACATCATCGCCGTCCTCTCCAAGAAGGGCCGGTATTTGGATCGACGTTTGGCGCGCGGCCGTCTTGTCACGCTCGTCCTGTCTGAGCCTCGCGATCCTGCGGTGATGATCTCCTTCCTCGCCGTTGTCATCCTTGTGGCTCGGTTTGAAACGTCCGCCTGAGAACGGGCATGCCATCTTTGCAAGTGCGCTGTTCTATTACGGTCCGTTGAGAGGATCCTTTTCGAGATCCGGACGGGAAGAAACGGGAGCACGCGGCGTTAATTAACGAGAGACATGCCGCGCGCCTCTCGTTGTGTTTATCTGCGATCAGCTGGCTGCAGCCACAACCACTACAAACGCTCCCACCCTTGTGTTTCGTATTCGAGCCCTCTTCAGCCCGCGCTTCCTAGCGAATCAACGTTACGAACGTGGTGGCTCTTGTTCGCGCGATTGTTCGCACAGCTCTTTCACACGTCGCCGCTCTGAGCGACGCGCGAACACGTGAAACAGATCCGAGAACTCATCTTCATCGTCGTCTTCGTGTTCCCGATCTTCGTCGTAATAACGTTGCCGCTAACGTTGCCGATGATCATTGACAGATCTGTCATTCTCGATCGTTCATCACGTTACGGTATGTATGTCGTATAGAGAAAAAAACTCTCCTCTTCACACACCGCCGCAACGTTCTTGCTTAGCGTGCGCGCGTTATGTGTCCCGGCGTCTACCAACCACCGCGTCGAGCCGGACGCGATGTCGCACGCGGTGTCAACGCGAAGAAGTTTGGCGAGACGACTCACAGGTTTGCTGCTCTCTTCGCGAATAATTTCTTTTATCACGTTTGTCTCTAGAATCGCTCTTCGGGGTCTTCGGTCTTCGTAAATCCTTCGGGCGAGATCTCTCGTTCTTTTTTTTTTCTTTTTTTTCGGTTTTTTTCAGATGCAAATATCGGCGGATACCAACCGCGCAATATCGACAACCGTAATTCGCGCGCGCATTCACCTTGGCAGGGAGACGCGGCGGATCGTCGACGCGACGGTAGATGTACGGTGACGACGATGTACGATGACACGACGACGCGCGCTACATACGTTGCTGTGCCTGAGCGCCTAGCGCCATACTGCTATATGGATTGACCGCGGCAACGCTTCGAGGCGCGACGGAGAGAAGAGAAGAGCGACGAGAGGGAAGGCAGCAGAGCAAGGGTGAGTCGGACGGTGTAAGGGGTGAGCGGAGGCGTCACGATGGAGGGTAGCGAAGACGCCTGCGCGTGTTTTCCTCTCTCTCTGTTTCTCTCTCTGTCTCTCTCTCTCTCTCTCTCTAACTGCTGTACTTTCCGTTCTCTCCTCTCGTAGGTCGTAGAGAAGGAAAACCTGTCTATACCCCTGCTTGCTTGCTGCCTACCTCACCTGGTTTGACCTGACTCGCTGCCCTGGTGCAGTTACCTGCTCTGGCGCGCGCTCTCCCCCGCCCTGGAGATTTTCAGGAAATTTAGTATACACATGCTTGTGTTCCATTATTAACTTCTGTAATTTTGCGCCGCAACCGACGTATCCGACCGACAGATGCGACTGACTTCCATGAACAGTATTGTGTCCACGGTCATCTCTCGGGAAAATTGTTTAACGGGGACGTTAGATTAAAATTAATGAGAAATGTGTAAATTGCGTGCGAGAGACTCGCGCGTTACACCCCCGTAGTCTATTAAAACTGACAAAGCGAGAGGAAATAGATAGATGCACATTTAACGATTACTTAATGTGGCCACATAATGAAGCGCAAAGTTGTGCGCGTGTAAACGAGTAATATCGCTTTGCAAATACACTTTCTGCTCGCAATTAGCCAATTATATTACGCGGAGTTAACGCCGTTTTATATTAGTTTACGTTTTATCCAAGCCATTTTATCCATCTTTAGAGTTACACAACTTTCGCACACGCATTTGTTTCCGCAAACGAGATCTTAACGTGATTATTATCTCGCGCTACAACGGCGTAATGCGATTATGTGATCGTGGCCGGGGCAATGTTTATCGCGGAAAATGCAATGTCTCATCGCAAATATTATCTTATGTCTCTGTTGTTATTATACGCGTCTGGGAACAGTTGCGAAATGAACGTGCATTTTCGATCGAGAGAAACTTTTTTCTCATAAATTCCCAATAATCACGAGTAAAACTCTTCGAAATTACATCTTGTACAAGCGCGTTTGATAAGAAAATAATATAAGAAAGAATCCCGCACGAAAATAAAAATGCTCGGGTATCTTTCTTTCGGGAGCTGTAACGTGCAGTAGATTATATTGCTTTTTTTTTTTTTGTTTTCTATTTTTTCTCTGCTGTTTGGTGTTTTATTTCTCTGATTTATTTTTTACTTAATTTTATTTCTCTTATTAATACCATGTTGGATTAATTCCTGCACGAGAGTCATTTTTCATCATCTCAATCATCCTCCAATTCAAACACCATTAATTAATAATGATCAAATGTGTTTTTTTTTTTTTTTTTTTTTTTATTTCAACGTGTCTCTTTTCAAAATACCTCCTTAATCTTCGTTCACGGTAAAGTGCTAAAACCGGTTGCATCAGATTATCGGGAAGCAAGGGTGGAGTATATATAAAGAGGGGTGGCGCGCGGAATGGATGAGTTTGGTAATCAAGTTTGTCCAGCACTTTTCTGTCTCGTGTCCGTGCTACAGACGGGGTAGAGTCGAATATCCATTTCGGTTCTCTCGACAATTCGGAGCGATCGATCTGTACCATTATCGCGAGAAGCATTGCTTCGCGCCGCGGTCGAATGTCAGCGGTCCGTCGTATAGGAAGCCTCGATCGGGTCATTGCTCACGTGATTCCCAGTGGAAATGTTCTTACAAATTACGAGACGCTCGCTGCAAATTGTCGGCGAGAAAACAAGTTATCTTTTCTCGCGAACAGATATATAAGGGCGTAAATAATTTATACGCACAACAACACCTCTCTCTCTCGTCACTCGCCGCGTCGCTCCTTCAATACTACGCGTGATACGTTGCGTGAACACGCTCCTGAGAAAATAATCACTCGATTGCGATAAAATGAGGGCAATGAGAAGATATAAATATCTCTTGAAAGCGGCACATATTGGATATTGCAAAATTAGAACATTAAATCAGTTATTCGCGCGTATTCGTACGTATCAGCGTGTCCGTTCAGATTTCTTGAGCTGTTCGGACGCGCTCGGTCGTGTATTTTACTACTTGTTCTATTATTCGCGTGATTTTAAATTATAATTTTATTTAACAAGTTACTCTAAGTTCTCTATAATAAATCAGAAAATCTCGTATTTTCGCGTTGCTCATGTATACAGGGTGTCCCGTAAGTCGAGATCAATCGCTCGGGAAGAGTGATCGAGGATCCAAAAATAAGAAAACTAAGTTGACATAAACGCACGTTCGTAAATGCGTTGTTTTCGAGTTATTGCATTTCGCCATTTTTATGGTGAAATTTGAAATTGTTATATTTCGAATTTTTTGTCAAAATTAAAAGAAGGAACAGATAGTATATGAATTTTGTAACATAACTAAAGTCGCGAATAAAAGTTGCAAGTTGCTTTAGCATCCTATCCAGGATGCGCCACAAGTGACGAACTGTGGAGTCTACTGGAGCTCTACTAAGAGATGCTAACGAGATGCTGTACCCTGCACGTGGTGCATCCTGGGTAAAGCAGCTCCTCAACTTTTATTTGACTTTTAGTTACAAAACTTATACGCTATCTATCCCTTCTTTGAATTTTGACAAAAACTTCGAAATACAACAATTTCCAATTTTAACATAAAAATAACAACAACTCGAAAACAACGCATTTTCGGACATGGATTAATATCAACTTTTTTTTCTTGTTTTTGGATCTTCAATTACTTCCCGAGCGATAATTGTATAACACACTTTTTACTGTAATAACACATTTTTTAGTATTTACCGGACATTTAGTTAATTGAATAAGAGCGCAAATTACTATTCGAGGGTGTGCGAACTAATCCATGTAATATCAACGTGAAAAGATTAAACATTCATGTAACGTGTGCATTCCATTAAAAGCCGCATACAACTGGTCTGCGCGCGTGGTCAAAGAAACGCGTATAGCGCGCTCCGCGCCATTCGAAATCAAATTACGTTATAACCATTAGTAAGTTGAACCGCATTTTTGGCAGCGCATCGAAACGTATGCGAAATGCGATTTGCGGAACGTGTTTTCCATTTACTAAATTAACTCCATTCGTCAGAACTGCAAAATTTGACTACATTCTCATGATTTCCCATTCTCCCTCGCAATATGAAATCACTTTATCCGCCGGTTTTTCTCCAGCGCATGTTTATTATTCACCGCGCGGAGATTACTTTTTGCGTTTGTTTTCTTTATTTGCTGGCATTCTGTTTGTTTGTTTTTTTTTGTATACAAAATTTTAGAACAGATCTATTTCTTATTCACAGTTGAGAAAAATGTTTATTTATTTAAAACGATGCCTCTCTTTCAAACGCGCGCTCGTATATGTTAAGAGGGTGCATTAGTAATATTGCGTAAAAGTGAAAAAAACGAAGTTTTTAATTTTTTCATTTTTCCATTTTTTCCTGATTTCTCTTTCGACGCGAAAATGCGTTTCGTACTTTGCCTCGCATCTACTGCATGTTTATACTTCAATCCTCACTAACGCGCCGCGAAGTAAACGCACATTTAATTTTTCACTCATGAATATATGCAATTCACATAATGCGACTGCGGCTCGCTGAGTTTTTGCGCTCTCTTTTAGTCTAACGAGTTTCAGCTTATCTTGAAATGCAGCTAAGAAATGTAACTGCTGAGCCAGTAATATACTTGGACGAAGTGTTGGCTACTTCTTCTCTTTTTAGTTGTCTCTTTGGATGAAGAAAAGATTTATATCCGATCTCTCTTAGGCGCAATTTTTTTCTCATCAGATTAAAAACTGTAACACACGTGTGTAAAGAAATGTGTTGGTGTAGCGATAGATTGTAAACGCCCTTAGGCGCTCGATTGCAGTTAAGTGTTTTCTCCGAGAAGTTTAAATATAGTTTTTGATAGTACGTGGCGATGTGCCAGACCTTCCCAAGATCGCGATACAATGATGAGTTCTTTATCACGCCACCGCTCTCGGTGACCGGAATACATATTTGAAAAGATAGAGATAAGGGTAGAATCAACGAAGAGAAGAGATTTGTAACTAAACAAACTAATTGGCGCGGATACGTCTATTCTGTTTGAGAAACGAGGAAAGTGTGTATTCCGGTTTGCGGTTAATAGGAAAATCCATCATAAAATCGTGGGAAAATCTCTCAAAATCAAAATGATCAATAACTGTCTGAAGATCTGATAATTACCGAGAGTTGACCGTGGAAGTATCAAGTTTAATTGTTAAAATAACAGTGCAATTTTTATTCTAAAAAAATAGTGAGTTTTTTATATTCTTAGGTGTTTTGAATGAAAACTACAAAATAGTTTGTGTGTCTAATTGTAATATAATAGAATAGTTAACAATATAACAACGAACAATATCGATGAATCCAACACAACATGGATGGACAATATTGATAAATATAATGCAACGTGGGAAAAAAGTATAACCTATTTGTTGAAAAAAAAAAAAAAAACTAGCTGCCGTGTCACTTATCAACTATAGTTGGCTGCAAATTGCTATGACCTCGCTGACAAGTGAGTTCCTGGAAGAAACGTCTTGTGTATGTGTGTATGTGTGTGTGTAATAGTTTCCGATATATATATATTTTCTACTTTCTTTTTCAGAATTTTATGAAACGGTTTTCTGGAAAATAGCAGCGTATTTTGTATTCCCATCGCGTCGCGTCTGGTTATTGCTGCATATTGAAGAAAATCGTTTGATACTCGATGCATCACGGTTCCGTGCAGATGTGAAATGATACAAATGACTTTCCGACGAGACATACCGATAGCTTTTCTCATTTCTTTGATTCTCACTACGTTTTGTTTATCAAACAGACTGGAATAATAATGAAAAAAAGCGATCGATATCGGTGTAATACAGTTTATTTTGTAAAAAAAAAAAAAAAACCCCGAGAAATATACACTCCACAAAGCGG